GCCTCGTGTTGCGCGCGCATGCAGGTAAAAATAGATAGGTCTATTGGATAAACTTAATTTTTCTACATCTCATAATGATTAAAATTTTCTTTACCTTTAAAATATTCGTTAAAAAATGTCAAAACTTCAAAGGACTTTTTCTCAAAAATGGTTGAGTTTGGACCCCATGTTGTATAAGCTTTTTTTGTTCAAAATGGACCATATTTTCACGTGTTAAAATTTTTGTAGTTAAACCTGATACACCCTGTATACCTAACTTTGAAGTAATGGCATAAGTAAATTGTACCTACAGTTAACAATAATTGTACTGTAGTACAGCGAATTAGCTAACCTATTGTGCACTTTTTGATAAAGGTACAAAATTTGGCACAGAGGTAGACCAATATAATATGAACAAATTTGGATGTGGAGCCATCGGCCAACTGCCCCCCGGCGGCCGTGGCGGCGGTTTTCCAAAATGGCCGCCAGTGGACACCACGAAAGATAATAGAAGTTGTTAAAGTTTGCTGCTGAAGGTTCTAGTAAATTTTTATTGAATGTTTTGAATGAAAACATGTCAGATAGTTTGTAAGTTATATTATATATATGTATGTACATACAGGGTGTATATTTTAAGTGATACCTGTATTGCTAATTGCTATATCCGAAATGGTAAGAGCTACAAGGTCGGTTGAATTAGAAAAAAGTTGCATTTTTTGATGCCCATCCAAGACTCGTTTACAGTATTGCCAATTCTTTTTTTTAGTTTATGAAATGCTTAAAAATATTTCATCAATTATTTCGAAAACTATTGATTTTTGAGATACAATTCAAATTTGAAAGTTTCATAATTTTTTGCGCATCTTCAAATTTCAAATCCGACGTTTGGTGATCGAGCTACCATCATCAAGTTCATTTTTTTAAACATGTACCCAGATTTTCTTATGTATTTTTGAGAAAGCGCCCTTTATTCTCTTTTTAACGATAGACTTCTTAAGTATAATTGGCTTACATTTCTGCTCTAAAAAGTGATCATCAGTGATCATTTTTACCAAAATTTTGTGACATTACAATAATAATTAGTTTCTAAGTACCTACCTAATAACTTCAATTATTGTTCATAATTAGATAATGTTTAGTGTTTATACAAATTGTTATGTTAAGTTTGTTCTAAATAATAAAGGAAAAAAGAACTTGTTAGACCGTCTTTGTTACAAATAGGTAACGAATTTCAGGGCCGAATTGAGGTAAAATTTTGGTAAAAATCACCGATGATTTCTTTTTAGAGCAGAAACGTCGGCCAATTATACTTGAGAGGTATATCGTTGAAAAGGGAATGGAAGGCGCTTTCTATACATGACATGAAAAATCCAGGTCCGTATTTAAAAAAATGAATTTGATGATGGTAGCTCGATCACGAAATGTCGAATTTGAAATTTGAAAATGCTATGTTGTAAACCGAAAAAACTTATGAAACTCTCAATTTTGAATGAAATATTCCAGGCGTTTTTTAGATATCACTCTGTATTTCATAAACTAATAGGAATTTGACAACACTGTCAACGGGTCTTGAATGGGCATCGAAAAAGGCAACTTTTTTCCAATTTAACCGACCTTGTACCTCCTACCGTTTCGGATATAGCAATAGTGGTATCAAAATATGCACCCTGTATAAAACTAATGGAAAAGAAATACTACCACTTTTGAAAACACCTTTATTTTCATTATATTTTGAATCGAAATGAAGTGTTTATTTCCATTCACAGTATGAATCCACTATTTTATTGGTATTTTCACCCCCTATCCCCTAAGCGGGGATGACAGGTACCCCCACAATTTCAAATAGGAAGGGGTACAAGTGATACGTCATTTTTTATAGATTTTAGGTTGCTACTATTCACCCTGCTGAAATGGCGGCTTGTCAAAGTTGGGAAATAGTACATTGTATCACTTGAACCCCCTTTCCATCTGAAATTTTGCGGGGCGGGTACTTATCATCGCCACCCCCGCTTAGAGGTTAACATGCAGGTGTGAAAATACCAATAAAATGTGTCCCTCAAAAAACAAAAATTTACGTATCTGAGCGATTTTTGATTATTCACCTAACACCTGAGAAAACCTAAGTTGAAAGTTTTTTGTGCCCCAACCTGTATAACGTACAAACTATCTGGCATTTTTTTCATTGAAAACAATCAATAAACATTCACTAAAATCTTCGGCAGTAAACTTTATCAAACTTCCGTTTTCATTGGGGGTGTCAACTGGCAGCTATTTTGGAAAATCGCCACCACAGCCACTGGAGGGCAGTTGGCTGATGGCTCCACATCCAAATTTGTTCATAGTTCATATTACATCAGTTTACCTGTACCAAATTTGGTGCCTTTATCAAAAAGTCCACAATATGTTGAAATATCCTAGCTAAGCTGCCGCACTACTGTGACTTTTCATCTGGAAAATATTGTCAACTAATGGTCTATAAATAAAAACCATCCTGTATATCAAAAATAATTAAAACTAACTAGAACACGATTTATCGACAGTCAGCGGTTTAAGCAGGTCAACGCGTAAATTATGTTTACACGCCATGAATATAAAAACCCGATACAACCATGGTATCGGCATCCATTCGGGTCTTTCTCTTCTAAGGGTCTCCTTACCCCAGGAAGCATTAACCCCTTCGGATCACTCTCTCCTCAGGGTCACCTTACCCAAGGGAGCAGTAGCTACATTCCTCTTCAGGGTCACCTTACCCCAGAGAGTCTTACCCTCCAGCAGGGTAGCGTTGCCTATACGTGCAGAACCCGTATTCCTACATAGAGCCCCAGCACAAGAGTCATGTGGTACACCTACGTAGTGCCTCTTTGGTAATGTACCTATTGGACGACAATATACACTATTCCTGTTGTAGTTGTGTGTTTTCCTGAAGAGCAAACCCTAACCTCAGGTCTAACCCTCACGAGCCGAAAGGGCCTTGCCCTTGTGTGACAATATTTCAATTAAATTCCTCATTAAGCTTTAAATTCCCTTTAAAAAAAAAAAATCCAATTTCCAACTTACTTTTTTAAAAGTTATAATTCAAATTAGAATTTTATTTAATGTCGAGACAAATTGATAAAATTTATCAATATAAACAGAAACTCGTATATCATTAGGCAAAAATTCCTGACAACAAACATTGAATCGCTTTATCAAAAATAAATTAAAAATGTCGTGCTGGATGAAAATTCTATCAGTTTTTCCGCCGTGGGCGGCAACGTTTGACAAGTTAATACGGAAAATATTCAATTTCCTTGCTGATAGAAACGACTGCGCTTCAATTATTTATTAAGTCAATTATTGCCGATATAGAATTCGATATTTCAACAAAAAAATTATTTATTGCACATTGATAAACGAACAATTAATGCATAGTAGGGTAGAGTGGGGCAGGTTCGGACATGGGGCACCTCCGGACATTTTAAATTTACCTCCTTCCAAAACTAAACGCGTTCCGGCATTTACAGTTGGTACCAGTGTTTGCTCCGTATCGCCAGACAAAATTTCGTGCCGGTATCTTGAGAAATTTGGGAGTGATCACTAGAAATACATAAATAGTGACCCCAACTAAGTATTATGTCTTCTACTCGTAAGGTTTTGCAAGATTTTGTGATGTAATTTTTAAGTTTTAAAGGGGTATACGTACAAAGTATGATAGTTTCACACCACATAAGCTATATTTCAAGAATCGACAAGACATGATTTTCATTTTTTTAGTTTTTTTCACATTTTGTACATGTGGGGCACATTCGGACTATCAACTTCTCATGCTGGGAATGCTCGCATGGCTGAATTTTTAAAATTTAACGTAGGTAAATTTTAGTTCTTTCAATCTAAAATAGATTCTTTTTTCTACTACCGTGCGTGAAGTGCTCAGTTTATGCATTATTCAGAAGATGTAAAATTTCACTTCACGCACTAGTGCGTAAAGTAATTCACTTCACACACTAGTGAAAATACTTCACGCATTAGTGCGTAAAGTATTTGGCTAAATCTATTTTTTTAGACATTATTTGATTGGTAGTAGAAAAAATTTTGTATGCAATATGTGCTTTTAAAGCAACTTTTTTCATTCATGTGATTGTCGCACTCGCCTTAAATTCACATTCCTGAAAAAAGGTTCACTTTACACACTTGTTGTATAAATAACTATTATACTTTAATAATAAAAACATGTTCAATTTACGTTTTTTTGTCATTATTTATTTTTTGTATTTTTATATTCTTTATTTTTGTAGGCTAGTGCCAAAGTTCGTAGGTTTGTATGTTTGGAGTTCCTTTAAACTATAAGTTTTGATGTTTAGATTGATATGCTAAATTATTTAAAATATTCCTGTCAAAAAATAAACTGTTTATGAAGCATATTTCCGGAGTTACCCCATGCGTATCCAAAACTGCCCCACCGTGGGGCACCTTCGGACAAATGGCAACTTTTTTTTATTTTAATTTTCACAAAAAATAATGCAAGTTTTTTCTGAAATTGCTATGGTATTGATTTAAAAACATATGATGCAATATATTAATTGCGTTTTTAGAACATCAAGATTAGCTGAAATAAAAGTTCGGTATCACCTTAACAAAATCCGTCCGAACCTGCCCCACTCTACCCTATTGATAATTTTGCAAGTTTTTGAACTTCTAACAAGTTGGATCATCAGAGTGTCAGTCTACTTACGCAAACATTTCCCCATGAAAATTGAAGGATCAATAATATTAAAAAAAACTAAACTTTCATAGAAAAAACTTCCCCCAACAACCCTGTATTCCATAAACGAAAATATAGGTATAAACCATATTTTGCCTTTTTAAAAAAAACTCAAAACCCTATTTTGACTTCCTTTTCCTTTTTAAAATATTTCTAAAGGATTTTTTTTAAAAAAATCTGGGTTAGCACTGGCTTCCTGTAAGTCGTTTCATTTAAAAAATTAAGAGGGTGGCTAATTGGAATTGGATTACTATAAACATCTGCTTAGATTTCCTGTTTCGTGACTTTCACTGAGATTTGGCAGCGCAGCATCTCTTCCAATCTCCCCCACAGTGGTTTTTATCGATCCACTGTTTGGCTCGAAAGTGAACGTCAAGGCGAATTATTGACACACTTTTGTTTCAGTTTAAAGTGAATTTTTAAACCGATTTATTGGGTTTGAATCAGTGCAAGTTTTGGGGAAGTTGGATTTTGCTAAAGTTGCCGATTTTTCAGGTAAATTTTTAAGTTTATTTTGTTTTGAAGTTTGGCCTTCAATCAGCTGTTGGTACAATACAATACAATGTTGCCAGAATTTGATTGAATTAGTCGTCATTTTGTTGTATGAAGAACTTGTGATGCGTCTCGAGTTTTCAATACATTTCTTTTATAATTTTTGTAAACAACCATAAATAAAATGTTATATAGGTATTCAGGCCTATGATGTATCATTCTCTGTTATTTTAACAGCAACGTTAAGTTATCTGTCACTGTTTATTCTAAACGTCAAAATAGAGACAGCAATAGATATTGAGCCATAACAGAGCCGTTAAAATAACAGGACCGGATACATCATAGGCCTGATTGTATCAAAACAAGAATCACTTTCAATTCTATAAGGCTGTATTCACATCAAATAGAATTCGTGATTTCAATATGTCATTGCAAATTTGTCAAAATTGTCGAATCACTAAAGGTGTTTTCTCGCGTCTCAAAGTTTTGATACATTTTCCAAAACTGGTTTGAAACGGTTTCACAATGACGTCATAACTTCTCGGCGCGAGAAAATGGTTTAAAAACGTGTATTGGATTGTATTTCGAAACGGTTTGAACCAATTTTGTGTGACGTCATAGGTTCATCGCGAGAATTAATATACTAGGTTTGTTTCTGCAGCAATCACAAACCAGTCAGAGTAAATTTTATTGGTTGTAACTAGTTTTCTGACTGTTTTCAACCAATGAAATTCGCTCTGATTGGTTTTTGATTTCTGCAGAAACAGACCTATACTATTTCAAACGTGTTTTGAACCAATTTTCAAAAAGTGAACGCGAGAAAACAGCTCAGGTCTGTTTCTGCAGAAATCCCAAACCAGTCAGAGTGAATTTCATTGGTTGAAAACAGTCAGAAAACTAGTTTCAACCAATGAAATTCACTCTGTCTGGTTTGTGATCGATGATTTAGCTAAAATTGACGTTTCAAAGTAGGCCTTGTTTTCTTTAAAACTCGATACAAAATAGCTTTTCTTTGTTGCCCTGTGGGCTCAAGATTGAAAACACTCTCGCCCTTCGGGCTCATAATTAAAAAAAAAAACGCAATTTCAATCCTCTAGCGTTACAGTGTTGCCAAAAGTTAAAAATTTCAATCAGCCTACAACATCATAACAATCGTTTCTTGATGTTAATTGCCACTTGTCACAACATTTTACATTTACAATAATTACAAATGCTCCAAAATTACCATTAAAATGTGGCAACGTGGCTGTTGCCGGCCTCAATCTGAATCACAAGGCTGTCAATTGACAAAAAAAAATCATAACAATCGTAGGTGATCTTGAAAATTAACTCGTCAATTGTCAAAAGTCATAATAATGTATGTAGGCTTGTCAGTTGTCAAAAAAAAATTGAGTAATTATTCCAAGTGTTTGAACCGGAAACAATTTACTCTGATGATTGGCTCGACCAACTGATCATTTAAATTGTTTCCTACTTTATCTCGCTCTTTATCTTACTCATTTATAATCGCTTTTGGTTTTTTACTAATGTATCCTACCTTATCTTCTTCTTTGTTTTACTCACTAAAATCTGGAAAAACATTATGTTTGAGATTGTAATTATGGCAACGTCGCTTTTGATCAAGTAGGTCTTGTAATGTAATGTCATTTGGCATTTTAAACAGTCGGCCAATTTCGAGTGTTTTTATCCAGTTTCTCCTCGAATTTTCCACTTTTTCAGGCCGGTTTCGATCGGGAAAACTGTTAATTATATGCGAGCCCGAAGGGTCGGAGTTATACGCGAGCCCGAAGGGCCGGAGTTATACGAGAGCCCGAAGGGCCGGAGTTATTTGTACCAGCGTACTTTTTCAAAACGAATGGTACCAAACCGGGTACAATTTTAACACCCCTGACTGGTTTTTGATTGATGCAGAAACAGATCTACTAATTTCCAGATCAGAATCTTTACTGATAAGTTCAAAACTTATTTATTTCTAGGTCAGATGCTTGTTTGAACAATGTGTTAATGAGACTCATGAAACTCTGTACTGTACTGTAGAACTTTGAAGCTTTATTTAGCATCCAAAACAGTTCACATCCAAATCAGAATTTTCAAGAGCATTTTGAAACAATTGAGAAACTTTAGAATTATTTCAGAACAATTAGGATTCAATTTAGAACTGGAAACCTTTTTGGAACCTTTTGAACCAATTTAGAACACTTTGGAGCTTCAATAGGGCTCTAACATAGGTACTTAAAAATATGTCAGAAATTCCTGAAAAACTTCTAGAATGCCCCACTTTAGAATTTTAAAAAGCCATTTGGAACGGTTTGAAATCCTTTCCAGTAATATTTTGAAAGACTTCAGAACAATTTAAATACCTCAAAATTATTTCAAGAAGCCTGCTAGCGCCTGGAATAGACAAAAATTGCAATTGAAGACGTCTGTAAGACGTTAGGTTTTGTAACATACGACGTCTTTATGCCTATAAAACGTCTTGAACACTTTAGCAGACGTCTAAAAGACAAAGCTGTCTAGACAAGCAATATGGTGGTAATTTTGCCAATACAAAGAAACTTCGAATTCCAACGTTTTACCAAAAATATCACAAAAAGCATTTCGAAAATTAGAATTTTAAGAATCAATAAAGTGCCTCTGAAATAGAAAATGACGTATCGAATAAAGAAGAGAGCTTCAGATAATTATTAGAAACCAAGAGGCAAACCACCTAGGAATTCTTTGCCAAAAATGTGGGGAATTTAGAGGAATTTGTGGAAAATTTAGGGGAATTTGTGAGGAATTTGAAGGAACTCATCCGAATTTATGAGAATTTGGGGAATTTATAGAGAATCTGAAGGAATTTATGGGGAATTTGGGAAAATTTGTGAGGCATTTATGAGGAATATAAAGGAAATTGTCAAATTTAAAAAATTCAGAAGAATAATGAATACAGTTTTTGTAGGCTGATTTCCAAGATTTTTCATGTTGTAATTTTCTACTGGAAAAATTTGAAATTCTGGAGAAATGAGCTTCTCACCTTCCTCTTTACATGCAAAAAGTTCCGAAATTTTCCCTTCACTAGTTTTCCAGGAAATCTTTGAAATGTGTGAGACTGTATATTTTCAATTATTTCAGTTATTGTAGGTTGATTTCCAAGATTTTTCATGTTGCTGTTTTCCACTGGAAAAATTTGAAATTTTGGGAAAATGAGCTTCTTACCTTCTTCTTTACATGCAAAAAGTTTCAAAATTTTCCCTTTACTAGTTTTCGAGGAAAACTTTGAAATGTGTTAGACTGTATTTTTAACTTATTCAGTTTTTGTAGGTTGATTTCCAAGATTTTTCATGTTGCTGTTTTCTACTGGAAAAATTTGAAATTTTGGGAAAATGAGCTTCTTACCTTCTTCTTTACATGTAAAAATTTCAAAATTTTCCCTTTACTAGTTTTCCAGGAAACCTTTGAAATATGTGAGACTGTATTTTCAATTAATTCAGTCATTGTAGGTTGATTTTCAAGATTCCTCATGTTGTAATTTTCTACTGAAAAAATTTGAAATTCTGGAGAAATGAGCTTTTCACCTTCCTCTTTACATGCAAAAAGTTCCAAAATTTTCCCTTCACTAGTTTTCCAGGAAATCTTTGAAATGTGTGAGACTGTATATTTTCAATTATTTCAGTTATTGTAGGTTGATTTCCAAGATTTTCATGTTGCTGTTTTCCACTGGAAAAATTTGAAATTTTGGGAAAATGAGCTTCTTACCTTCTTCTTTACATGCAAAAAGTTTCAAAATTTTCCCTTTACTAGTTTTCGAGGAAAACTTTGAAATGTGTTAGACTGTATTTTTAACTTATTCAGTTTTTGTAGGTTGATTTCCAAGATTTTTCATGCTGCTGTTTTCTACTGGAAAAATTTGAAATTTTGAGAAAATGAGCTTCTCACCTTCCTCTTTACATGCGAAAAGTTTCAAAATGTTCCTTTCACAAGTTTTCCAGGAAATCTTTGAAATATGTGAGATTGTATTTTCAATTAATTCAGTTATTGTAGGTTAGTTTTCAAGATTCCTCATGTAATTTTCCACTGGAAAAATTTGAAATTTTGGGAAAATGAGCTTCTCACATTCCTCTTTATATGCAAAAAACTCGGCATAAAAACTTCAAAATTTTCCCTTTACTAGTTTTCCAGGAAATTTTTGAAATGTGTGAGACTGTATATTTTCAATTAATTCAGTTATTGTAGGTTGATTTCCAAGATTTTTAATGTTGTTGTTTTCCACTGGAAAATTTTGAAATATTGGGAAAATAAGCTTCTTACCTTCTTCTTTACATGCAAAAAGTTTCAAAATTTTCCCTCTTCTAGTTTTCCAGGAAAACTTTAAAATATGTGAGACTGTATTTTCAACTTATTCAGTTTTTGTAGGTTGATTTCCAAGATTTTTCATATTGCTGTTAAAATGAGCTTCTCACCTTCCTCTTTACATGCAAAAAGTTTCAAATTTCTCTCTGCACTAGTTTTCTAGGAAAACTTTGGAATGTGTGAGATTGTATTTTCAACTTATTCAGTTATTGTAGGTTGATTTCCAAGATTTTCATGTTGCTGTTTTCCACTGGAAAAATTTGAAATTTTGGGAAAATGAGCTTCTTACCTTCCTCTTTACATGCAAAAAGTTTCAAAATTTTCCCTTTACTAGTTTTCAAGGAAAACTTTGAAATGTGTTAGACTGTATTTTCAACCTATTCAGTTTTTGTAGGTTGATTTCCAAGATTTTTCATGCTGCTGTTTTCTACTGGAAAAATTTGAAATTTTGAGAAAATGAGCTTCTCACCTTCCTCTTTACAAGCGAAAAGTTTCAAAATGTTCCTTTCACTAGTTTTCCAGGAAATCTTTGAAATGTGTGAGATTGTATATTTTCAATTATTTCAGTTATTGTCGGTTGATTTCCAAGATTTTTCATGTTGCTGTTTTCCACTGGAAAATTTTGAAATTTTGGGAAAATAAGCTTCTTACCTTCTTCTTTACATGCAAAA